CCCCCCCCCCCCCCCCCCCCCCCCCCCCCCCCCCCCCCCCCCTTTAACGCCTCATCACATGTAACTTACCATCTATTGCTGTGACGGAAGGTTTTGCCACTCTGAAACGATCAAATTTAACTAATGATAACTCGCATTCGGCGAAGAACCGTCATTTCTCTGTAGGAATGGGATATGATCAAACCACTAACTGGTACAGCAAACACAGCAGTAGATTAAACAGGACTAAACTTTGGTTCCAACAGCGTTTATTCTTCAGTGGATCAAATGGCAATAATTAACTCAGGAAGGACACAGCAAAAATAATCGAAAAACAGTAAAAACTAGCTTACTTATATTAAATATGATTTCTACAACTATTGAAGACAAAAAGAAACTTTGAAAACTAAATGCAAACTCTATTTTTAACCTGAAATCTTTTGTTAATACTGTTGCTATTTTAGAAAGTCTGGAGTACTGGAAATAAGAACTAGATAGGTCAGCAGGACAGCGTTTATGTACAAAGTGTTACAATATGAATGAAAATGCAAGTTCAGGGAGCGGCTGTTTCAACAGAAAGAAGCGCAGACTAATTGCAAGTTTTCACCTTAAACAAAAACCGATCTATTTAAAAAAAATTGCAAGCTAGACAGCAAAACCTTTCATATTCAAAATTCACCTATTGCCTCTTTTGACTAACAACTTAATGAAATATTTGTTCGCAAATAGACAGCTAATTAAACAAGCGGCACCAGTACAAAAGGCCTCTGAATGGACGTCGTCCAGTTGTAAAATCACGATAGATAGACGGAAGTTAAATAACCATTATTCAGAAACTAATTATCTTTTTAAAAGTCAAAATTGAAGTAAAATGTTTATAATTGAAAAGAGAACGAGCAATTAGTTTTGTTTGTTAAGGAACACTGTTGGCTTTTCTTACAATTATTACTTAGCGGACACAAAGCAACTTAAAGGACAATAAAATGGCACGAGCCTTTTTGCGAAGCTAAAACATCTTTATGCAATTTCAATATGAATTAGTAAAAACAACGTCAAAGATATGAAATTCGAGACAAATAAAGAATTCATGGAAAATCTCTCCTTACATTGCCTTCGAGCTTCGACAATCTTTTCACATCTGGTTCTCTTAAGTTCTTCATGATTATAAAACTCAATTTGCTCAGTATCGTCGACCCAATATAAAGTCTCGCACAGCCTTAAAACAAATAAAATATCTTGCCAATGCACACACTTTTAGAACTCTCCAAGTTCAAACGTCGATCTTTTCATGTCAAACTTAATACCTATTTAGGTCAACCCAAATGATAAGTTATTCGACGGTTGATTCAGATGTCGAACTTAATTAGTCGGATTCAATTCATTTCCATGATGTTCAATGGTCTAAAACGCAAGTGAAATAAATTTTAGTAATTTATGCATTAGGTTCGGCATATGAGAAGTTGGACGTTTAAACTGGACCTAAGCAGACATTTAACTACCATGACATGGTCTAGCTAATTTGAACTTTTGTCGAAAAATTTCTAGTTAATATGTAACCATCTTTATTAATAATAATCCAACTAAACCTCCTTATATTTTCTAAATGATTGTATATAACTCAACTTCCTCCTATTTTTTAAGTAATTTTGTTTGTAACTAATGTTGATTCTACTCCTTTTTCCTGAAACTTAGCAATCTGTTGTTGATTTTGTAAAATCGCGTCGTTCCTCTTCTTTAAGCCTAGCATTGTCGTCCCCATAGCCTCCTGGGGGCCTGAGCACGAGAACCAGGAGGCTCTGGGGACACAGGATTTGAAGTCCTAGATTTTAGGACTTTCGGTCATTTCTGATTTTCTAGAAGGGTGTCCTGGTTTTCGTGCTCAGGCTCCTAGGAGGCTATGGGGACGAGAATGTAAGTCTACTTAAACTAACCTACGAGGAGTTTAGACCCCTACCTAAGCCCCAGGCTTCCAGTTCAGGCTTCCCCGTCACCATCTTTTTCTTTACGTTTATCTAAATTCTACAGCCTGTAATGTGACAAAAACAAATAAATCAAAAGAAGCATCATTTTCTTTCTCTTCAAGATAAAGAGTTGCCATCCTTGCGAGGAACGCTCTACCGCGTAATTGTGATGAAAATTAAACTGTCTTCAACTTCAGATAATTAGGAACTGCTTCACTGCATTTTTCATCGTACCTATACAACAAAAACAGCAAGGAGAAACGTTAGCAAGCTAGCAGAAGAATAGTGATTTCAGCCAGCGAAGCCAATCAGTTAATATTTTGGCGCCTGACTTCCAAATCATCATCAAGTACAGAATACCATTAAAACCTGTAACTCACATCGTACGACAAGCCTCATTGTATATTAACCGATACTTACAACCGAAAATGTTTAATAAAGCCCTCCCCCCCCCACCCCACTCTCCAAACCCTACAACCTTTTCAAAGAAAGAAAGCGCGAAAGCTCTTTCTCTCTCTCTCTCTCTTTCAAGCCCCACTGCCATTACTCTTAACCAATAGACGTATATGATAGGTGCAGATATAACTGGACTGAGGGTTAGAACTGGTTGTTGTTCTTCGGCTGTGTTCTAGTTCTTTATGGAGACTACGTTACACTCTTTTTTTTTTTTATAAGAATGTTGTTTTTCCGGCCCAGGCTGAATATTCTTATTTTTCTGCCGATTTTAGGCTGAAAATATTCTTGTATTATTCTTAAAGAAAGCCTAGTGCTGTTTTTGTTTTCGCTAGGTTTTGTTATTTAAAAAGGAAAGAATTTGTCATAATACTTTTTTGCGGTTTAGTTTATGTCTTTTGTGCTGAATACTGTACATATGTATTACATGTACCGCAAACTGTCATTAGTGTTGAACATTTTGCTATAGCTAGTGCAGGTTTTTTCGTTTTGTTGGCTAGTTTCGCCGTTCAGAGAAAGGAATAATTTTAAACGGTTAAGTTAAGTATTTACAGATGTTTCAACACACAAATTATATCTATCCTTTTCAAAATCTCAGCCTCGGCTTTATTCTTAAAATATTCTTAAAATTTCGCCAATTTCAGCCTCGATATTCTTATAAAATATATTCTTATAAAAAAAAGAGTGTATTCGGTTAATTAAATAAGCCAACCTCCCCCCCCCCCCCCCCCCCC